ATTCATTTGCTCACTCAACAGGTATTTTCGGAGTACCTACTAGGTGCTGGGGAAAATGCAGTAAATGATACAATTGAAATCTCTGTCTTGGAATTTACATTCCAGCTAGAGGAGACAAGTGTAGCAAATAAACACTATGTACCCAGGTCAAGTAGTATCAATGACATGTGCGCTGGAGAAAAATCAGTAAAGGGAATAAGGAATGTCTTGTTGGGTTGTATAATACAAAGATGTGTCAAGAAAGGCCTCAGTGACATTTGAGTTGAGACTTGAAAGAACTAGAAAGAGCCCTTGGATACATGAGGGAAGAGTGTTCCAAACTAAACACAGCAAGTACAAAGGCCCCGATACACTAATAATGTGCCTGGAAGAACTGCGAGGATGCCCTTGTCCTGGAGGGCGGGCCAAGGGGAGAGTGGTTGGAGAGGAGACCGGAAGGGTCATGGAGGTGCTGCATCGTGAAGTGTCGTAGAAGCCTCAGTGGAAGGACTTTTGCTGCCATCACAGCCCGAGGTTCCCAACATTTCCCACATTACAAACTAGGACCCTGCTGCTCAGAATTCTGTCCAATGTAGCAGCTCCTCTCTTTGGATCTTCAAAAGTGAGAGAGAAAAGTACCAGCACAGTAAGTCAAGACTTGATTAGAAACCCTGCTTAAGAGCCAGTTTCCAGCAGATGTTCAGATGTTGCGCATTCAACGTCACCACTTCCCTACTCGGAGAGACTTCAAGTTCATTTACAAGCAGAGGCTACCAATGGTGGTTGACTTGAAATGATGTGCCTTTATAAGCACAATAGAAATTTGAGGCCTCTTGTTGACAGTACATAAAAATTACCAGTAGAGGTCATACCATATCAGTATTCTCACATCCTCTTTTCTGTAAGCATATAGATTAATAAGGAATTGTTACTTATTACAGTAATACGATAAACTTGGTAAAGCTTTATCTTGTAAGGAGTGGCCTGCTTGCTACACTGTATATGAATAACAACTACCATGTTAAAAAAATGAGTGCCGTATTGATGAGGTACATTTACCATGAAAACCACATGGAGCGTTTTTAAACATGTATTAGAGTATATGCTCTGGAATCTCGCATCAGCATGTGCATTTTGAAAGTGTGCTGTTCAAGTCTATAAAAATTCATATTCGGCACTCTGGTTGTTTAGATAAATCAGAATTTGCGTTAAATAAGTATAAAAAAACTGATGGAAGTTCTTATCAAAAGACTGTTTTTTCTTTCAAGGAAATGGAAGAGGCAGAAGATGAGGAGGAAGACAAATCGTCTTCATATGAATATGAAGAGATGGAAGAGGCAGAAGAAGGGAAGGAAGACGATGATGATGATTCGGCGGATATGGATGAATCTGACGAAGACGACGAGGAAGGGAGGCCCAGGAGACTCTTCGACGTTCCCATTCGCAGACGCCGCTACTCACGCCTATTTTAGCGGGGCCTCTGCTAATGGAACCACTGGGATGAAGCCACTCTGTTAAATAGATTTCTCAATAATGTAAATACCTAAATTGTTCTCGGCATATAGCAAGAAAAACTAGCATGAAATATTGTTTCTGGACTCTGGATTCTGTGCGACTCTTCATTAGGAATTGGATCGTTTGAGTTTGCTTAGTGATTTTGAGGTTGAGGAAGAAATGAGAATTTTTTTTTCTCTTTTAGAAGTCAGTGGGGGAATAGTTCTCTAGCTAAGGAGTAGACATTTATTTGTTTCAAAGTATTTTGTACTTATGAAATATGGAAGCAGGAGGGAATTGCTTTGAATAAGGATTTAAACTATAGCAGAAGTACCTACCCAAAATAGGTATTGGGTATGTGACTGAAAAATTCTGTGAAAAGACTTCTTGCAGTTGTCATTTAGCGATGAACACAATTTGTAATTAGGCTAATCCATTTAGTGATTTCTATATATTTTGTACTCATAGGGAACTAATTGACTGAATAGGTTGAATGCTGGTCTTTTTGTCCTTTCTTAGACAATCTATCCTTAAATTTAAAAGTTTTTATCACTATAGCTTTAAATTTAAAGACGTTATGACCTTGACTTTGAGTTTAGTCTTCAACTCTCCCAACCTTAAATTTAATTTAACATCTTCACCATGACACCTTGAATTTAATTAAAATCGTCAACATTACTATTGTTCACAGATGCATTTTTGAAATGTAGAGTGTAAAAGTATGTATTATGTTGTTTATTAACAGAAATTCTTCACAATGTCATACATAGTCTAAATTTGTAAATACCGCTTTTTTTCCTTTATACACTTCTAAGTTTGTGATGAGTGACATGAATTTTATGTTAAGATTAAGTATGTTTTCCTGAAACATGAATTTTTTTTGTAATTATATTATTGAGAGTTTGGAATGAAGTCCTCCAAGTGTCAAAAACTCATTTTAAAAACAAGTTTTGGTTCCGATGCTGCATTTTGTATAATTGCCTGTCCTCCATCAACTTATTAATAAGCCTTTGCTCTTCAGATGAAAGAGGAGGTGACACCTGCTGGTCTGTTGTTAGAGACCCACCGAAAGCCACTTCCTGGCTTTGGTTATACCCAGTCAGGCACCCCACTTTCCATCTCCCCCAAGAACAGTGGTTTTGTACTGAGAACTGTAAGAAGAGGAGGGTACTGGGGTGAAACAGCTGCCATCAGAGACCATGAAGTCAAACTTAACCTTTTCATGTTGGCACCCGTCAAAATGTTCTTAAATGGAGTGAGCAGTTTTTCCTGCCTTTTAAAAAATAGAGTAGTATCAGGTTGCCAAACCCTTCTATTGTACCTATGTCTTCTTTTTAATCAAGACACTGATCTCTTAAAATTTTCCTGGTAAAGCAATCATTTAAAACTAGTCAAAATGTTGCGAGTTGAAGCTGGCCCCAGGATCCCCGGCCATGCATTGCATGCTTCCCTTTTCTGGATGACTTCTCTTTTCTCTCAGTCCCAGAGTACCCACGATGCCCCAAGTCTCCCCTGCAACCCCACCAGTGTTGCTCCTCAGAATGCTTAAGACTCCTTTATCCTCTCGTCAAAATTCACATTCTTTTAGCATATTGGATGTATGACCTCTGGTTCATGCTAAGGTATTCGTTAACAAGCTCAATTTTTTTTTATTTCATTTGTAAAAATGTGTACTCACACATAAAAGGGATCTAACAATTGGTCAGACTTAAGGCCATTTGTGGCTTTGAGGTCTCTTGAGAACACCTATCCATTTGTCTAAAGTTTGATGTGTCAGAATGAAACATACCTAAATAGCTTAAACACCTTAGGGTTTTTTTTCTTCTTGTGCTAAGTCAGAGGTAACATTCTGGGCTGATACCAATTGTGTCGACATTTCAGATTCCTTCCATCTTTCTGCTCCACTATCCTTAGCTCAAGACTAGTCTTAAAGGTCACCTCATGACTGCAAAATAACAGCTGGAGTCATACTGTGTTCTAGAAAGGATGATAAAATCAGACGAGAGGTGAAGCAGCCAGGTCTCCAGCAGGATAGGTAGAGAAAGGGTGCAGGATGCAGGAACTAACATGCTCAGAATGGAAACCTACTACAAAGTAAAGGCAGTGGTCCAAGTGAGACATGCTGCAGGCCTGAATTAGGGCAGTGGCAGGTGTAGTGAAGAGGCTATGAAGTTGAGATAAGCAAATGATGTAGGCAGGAGTTGATGAGGTGTGAGGGAGTGAGAAAAACCAAGGTTGGTTCCCAGGTTTTTGGCTTTATGTATGGAAGGAAAAAAAAGCAGTGGACCATTGGAAATGAGTTCCAATTTGGACACATTTTGAGTTCAGAGTGTCTGTGGGACATGTAGGTGATGTCCAGCAATCAATTGGGTGTGAATATGAAGATTGAGGGACTGATCAGGACTGGAGAATAAATTTTTGCAAATCACCTACAAACGTATCTCCAAGCTAAAACGACGTGGATGCACTTCCTCCCAGGAAGCACACAGAGCGATGATTCTCAGTCCCACCCTGGGAGTGCAGATTATGAATGAGTAGTGGGGAAAGAATCAGACTGAAAGGTCAAGGCACTGGATGCAAAACCAGGAGAGATCTGCATCAGATCTTGAAACTCTCAGGAGAGTTTCAAGGGGGGAACAGCCAATAGGATGCACGTAAGATAGTGCATCTGAAAGAGCTTTGTAAGCAAGCTATTATTGGAAATGATCTAAGCAGACGTCAAATGAAATTCATTTCCCACATCCCTAAGCCATCAGAGCATCGCGGTGGAAAAGCACATCATGATCGATTATGATCTGCCCTGCTTGCTCCCCTTCTCGATTCAGCATAAGCAGAGTCGTGAGATACAGTATTTTCTCACCCTGAACCTCAGAAAGTGTCTCATGGTCTCCAATAAAGGTCAGAGACTTGTACGAAGGCCTTTTGTCCCCCACTCTCCCCATGGTGCTCTTAAAGCCTGTTCTGCGGTGGGTGGGAAACACTTTGCAAGTGATAAACAAAAACTTAAAATTACATTTTCACGTAAAAATAACGTCCTAAATGGTTCTGCGGAGTTTTATCTTAGTTCCAAACAAGACACAAGGCTGTGACTGAAAGACATTGAGGGACTCCAGAGTCTAAGAGCGTAAAAGAGCCCCAGGCTGCAGCAGGGCAGGATAAACCCGACACCCGGGCCCAGAGTAAGCTTAGCGCGGCATAAAAAGGTTGTTAAATACATTTTAATGTTTAAAAAAAAACTTAAAAAAGGAAACCGTACGTCTTGGAGTTCCATGTTTTTTGTTTTCGTCAACAAACGGATGACAGCGGGATCCAGCCTCTGTCGCCTGGATTTTAAAGGTCTTAATCTAGCCCTGGCCATGGGTCTCTTCTGAACCTGGACCAGGAGCCTGACTCCCCTGACGTGCCGAGGCTGCTACCTGACCAGGGTAAAAGGACGCAAGCAGTGACCGCCTGGAGCCAGAGCCGAGAGTACTCGTGACCCTGACTCCGGGAAAGCGGCGCGCTGGGCGGGGCCGGAGCCGGGTGGGGGAGGGGCGAGCGAGAGCAGGCTGCGTGCTGCGGCGCCCGGGCTATAAAGGCTGCCGATCGGCCTGGACGGCGCATCCCGGCAAGTCGGACTCTGAGCAGGCCCGGAGGTAAGGCCGAGCCGTGGGCCAAATTGCGCTGCGAATCGGCCGCGGCGGCGGACCTCCGCAGGCGCGTGCGCCGTCCGGCGGCTGGGTGCGAGCCTCCGGGGCCACGGGCCTCCGGAGACCCGAATCCCCGCAGACCCGGACCCCTTCCTCCTGCCTCCTCCCCGCTTCCACTCCGCTTTCCCCACTTGCGCCCGCCTCCGCGCCCTGGGGGCGACCCCGTGCCTTTCCCAAACCCCTGGGCTGCCGACGCCCTGCTCTTCCCCGCAGAACTCCCTGCCCTCCCCCAGGGTTTAAGCTATTCGGAGAGCCCGGCAGAACTCCGACTTACTTTGTAAGTCGACAACAAAGGAAAATGGGGAGAACGGCGCTCCAAATCCGCTCCATTCCCTCGGGAATATATTCCTCGAACCCTGACCACGGAAGGGAAGCTCTTGGCAATTTAGGGAAAAGATACCGCGCTGCGAGAAGAGGTTAACGCCACCCCCAAATGGTCAAGGACATTCTTCTGTTTAGAGGTCTGAATTTTGAACTTTAATAACAAAGCAGGGCCGAAACACAGACCTTTTAAGTCCAGGTTTGGTGTGAGGTTTTGTTTTCTTGGGCCGGCTTGGGCTCAGAACTTTTAAGTCCAGGTTTGGTGTGAAGTTTTGTTTTCTTGGGCCGGCTTGGGCTGCACCCTTCATAGAGTCTGACAGCGGAGTTGGAAGAAATGTTAAATAGTGATTTGAATGGTTTAAGGAGAAGCAGCCTCTTCAAGGATCCTGGAAATGTGTTAACTCACATATTCCATTTCTCACCTGACACATATACGAACCTCGTCAGGGAAAATAAAGTGACTTTATTGGCCGGCCTCACCCCTGCCCAGGCTGCTGGCTCAGGTTGATAAAAAAACCCATGGCCAGAGCTAGGTTAAGACCTTTAAAACCCAGGCAGTGGGCAGTTTCTGGTATCTTCTGATGTGTTATGGAAAACAAAAACAATATGAAACTCTGAAACTTAATGATTCCCCCTTGTTTGTTTAATTCTATTAAAATGTATTTCACACTGGGCCCTGAGTGAGCTATTCAATGTCATTTTTTTAAATCCGTAAAATTGTAGAGCTTACTTCCTTGGGAGTGATAAGGACTAAGTGAGGTAAATCATAGAAAGGGTTCGGTTTGATACCTGCTCTGTGGAGACCAAATCGTGGCTGTTAATATTTGGGGTACCCTTGTGATCCGCCGCCTTCACGTTTCCCACTGGGCACAATTTACCCCCCTAGTTCTCTAAGGCAGGCACACGAGACTCAGAATGTGAAATGAGGGAGGTGGCAACATTTCCCAGTAGGCTGGGAAATTTATGATCCTAAAGCAGATAGGTTGCCTTACCGTGGACCCAAGATGCCTAAGATTTGTGGTTTCTGTATTCTGAACTTTCCTGCAAGAAAACATCCCATTAGGCTGAGTGGCTCAGAAGCCAAAAGCCCAAATAAAATGGATTTTAGGGTGAGGAGAGCGGGCATCTAATGGAATTCATCTTTGGTGGGCTGCAATTACAAACTCTTTTAAAAAGATTGCATTAAAAATTCTTGAACCTCAGCCAGACTGCCACAAACAAACCCAGACCCCAAGCTGCTTGAGGTTTCCTAAAGGAGAAGACTTTTTTTGGCCTGTGCCCCAGAGGACTGTGAGTTATTTTCATTAAACAGTTGGATCTGCCGTAGGATCTCCAAGGGCAGGGCAGTGACAAACCTGTGATGACAGGCCCTGTGGAAAGTGGATTTTCCGAGGCGGCCAGGGGAAGCTGCAGGTTTCTGTGGTTTAGCTGCAGGTTTTCAGGTGGTTGACTCCGCTGGTCGTGGAACCTCAGAGTGGGAGGGGCTGCTCACTGTGATGTATGTGGTTTTCTGTCTCTCCCTGCTGATGTCTTGATGAACAAATAACTGATCTTTGCTTAGGCCTCCCTGGCTGCAGCAGGCAGTGTATTGTGAGGTGATGAGGCAGACCTGCAAGTCCTTCACACTACTAGTCACCAGGGAATGTTAAGCTACCTGTACTTGTGAGTTACCAAACCCTGGTGAATAGAAGTGTGATCCACGCAGTGTGACTTTGCAACTAACCTGTTGCCTTGGGAAAGGTAACTTCTTCCCCCCCATCCCCACCCTGGGGGCCTCCATTAATTCCTCTAAAATAACAACTTTGGGTTTTATCTTTGAGGTCACTTCTAGCCTTACTGTTCATTAGCCTTTCAGGCCCCAGTCTCCTGGGAGCAGTAACTTTACTCGTGGGCATCTGTGAATCTCCCAGTGTAAATTCTCTTCTCTGGTGGCCTCCACTTAGCAAATGTATTTCAGAACTTGAATGCACAAGAAGAGCACAAGCTCTCCCCACCAGAGAGCTTAACTATGGCTGAAGAACTCGGCCCTTCTTTTAAAGGTTATAATACACCAACCAGTTCTGAGGTTGGTATATTAGTTTTCTATTGCTTAACTGACACAAGAGTATTACTCTTAGAATTCTATAAGTGAGACAGCTGCCACAGCTTCCCGACCATTATCCCTTCTGGAAGACCTGTGGGGGAATTCATTTCCTTCCCTCTTTCTGGTTATCTGGCGATGGGAGGGCTGAAGTCCCATTTCCTGCCTGAGCTTCGGTTGAGGGTGTTCTTAGCTGCTGCAGGCCACCTGTTTGCCACAGCGGGCCCGCTTTCACTGTCTTCAAAACCAGCAGTCAGTGAAGTCAGTCACATTCTGAATCTCTTGCCTCTTCTATTTTCACATCTCTCTGAAGCTTAAAGTCATGTACAAAGTCACTTGAAATGTAAAGTTGCCTGTATTCACAGATACCTGGACACCTCTGGGGAAGAAAGACATTATTTTTTCTACCTTCCAACACTTGTGTAAATTAGTTCCCCTCCTCAACCCTCAGTTCTCTTATAAGTGGAGGTGGAGATTAAATTTGTAGCATTGTGCCCTGGCTGGTGTGACTCTGTGGATTGAGTGGCAGCCTGCGAACCAAAGGGTTGAGAGTTCAATTGCAAGTCTAGGGCGCACGCCTGGCCTGGGGCCCAGTCCCCAGTAGGGGGCGCACAGGAGGCGACCACACAGGGATGTTTCCCTCCTCTCCCTTCCCCTCTCCAAAAATTAATAAATATAAATAAAATCTTTAAATATTTCGAAGCATGGTATGAGGATTAAATACAGATAACATCAATAGCGCATAGCCAAACAACTGGCTATAGTATTTGCTAGCAAAATGGAAGCTGATACAGAAAGGTGGTCTTGCCTGCAGGCTGGCATTGGGCACAATATAAGGGCCCATAGTGACAATGGGCACAGTATAATCACGTGGGCCCTTTAAGAGAAGGGCCCTAATTACTTAATCAGATTCTGCCCTTTCTGCTTCTCAGCCTTTTCCTAGCCTTCATCAGCCAATTCCTGAGCATCACATGACCTTTGAAGCTGGGAGAGATGATGTTCCCAACTCAGAGGAAGATGGGGCCTCACCCACCAAGAGCCCCGTCTGTCTGCCCCCTGGCCTGTGGGACTCAATAGAATGGGGAGCCCCCGATGTAGAGAGGCTGGCGTCTCCTTGTTTCAGGGTGGGCTCAGGGAAGTAAGGGTGGGGTTGAGAGATTTCCTAGGCCTGTGACTAAATGCATGGTTTAGACATGATGTAACAAATGACCAAACATCTAGAGAACTTTTAAGTGTTTGAGCCAAACAGAACAATTGCCAGGAAGCAAAATCTCAACAGTTTGAGAAAATGCTCCAAAGAATGGCAGTTTCATGGCTTATTTTACACGTTGGAATCAAAGGAAACGTAAAGGGGGTCAGATAAGATTCATTGATGGTAGGTTAGGGAGGCAGAAGGAAGCAAAGTGGGGGAATCTCTGAGCCTGGGCAAAGAGTACAATGGAGAGACGCACTTCTTTTACGTCGGTGGGTTCAGCATAATTCGTATTTGCAGCACAGAGAGATGGTGTTCAGGGAACAAGGTAACAGCGAGGGTTCTGTGCTCTGGTGCGGTAGGTATGTCCTGAGGGATGTGGAACAGGAGATTACTGTGAATTCCTCTGAAATTCCAAAGCTATGATATGTTTTTTTCTTTTTATTTATTAATTTTCTATAAGAATGAGTCCACTAGCTCACAGCCTCCTTTTCTTGTGATTTTTAAAGAGATTTATTTATTTATCTTTAGAGGGAAAGGGAAGGAGCAAGGGAGAGACACATCAGTGTGTGGTTGCCCCTTTTGCGTCCCCTGCTGGGTACTGGCCTGTAATCCAGGCATGTGTCCTGACTGGGAACTGAACCGCGATTGTCTGGTTCGCAGGCCCGTGCTCAATCCACTGAGCTACTCCAGCCAGGGCCACTATGTTATGTTTTTTAAAAAAACACCAAGAGCAAGAAGACAGGCAAGACCGACCTTTGTCAAGGAAGCTGCCGACCTAGGATGTGACTACCTGCCGGGACCCCTTCAGTTAGGAAGGTTTATGTTCAGCCCTGTGTAAGGCCGCCGTGCTGGCCTCCACTGAGCCTGTCAGCTTGGCACGGGCCTCTTCATCCACAGACCATTTAAAACCTCCTGGCGTCTTGACTGGCTCAGCAGACAAAAGGAGGGTTTGAGGCAATTCAGCTCCCGCCCCGCCTCCCCCGATGCTCGCTCCTGCACACCTAGGTATGAACGTCATGCACACTAGTCATCAGAGTTACCTGGAATTTTTTTCCCTTCCCCAGGGTGAACCAAGGCGTGTCCCTCATTCTCGCCAAGGTAGGGAGCCAGAGCTCCCAGGCACGCTGAGTCAGTGCTTCTGTTCTGCTGCTGGGTGCCTGCGTGTCGGTGCCCTCCAGAGTCACTTGTTTGTTCGGAGGCCCTTAAGTCGGCATGGCCTGGGGAAGTGGCCTTCACTAGGCTCTGGCCCAGCCAACAGCTTAGGGTGTAATTACAGCAGAGCAGGAATTGCAGTTGTCCCCACTGCACGGAGAGAGGGGCCATTAGAGGTGAGAGCCAGGGCGGGGCCTGGGTGGCCCTGACTCTGGGCCCTGTGTGCTTGGACTCCTCATAGCTGCCCCTCTCACCAGGATCAACAGCATTTCTGTAGGAAGCTGAGGGCTGGGGGCAGGAGGAGAGACCGAGTGCTGCCCTACCCGAGAGCACCCCTGGGTGATGGCACCCCTGGGTGATGGCACCCCAGCCTGGCAGATTTCCTGTTTTCTTGGTCTGCTAGCTCCTCCCCTGTGTCTCCTGAAGCTCCCTAGGCCTTCTGATTCTTAGTTTCTGAGATCACCGGTCAGTGGTCAGTCGTTGGTTGGTTCGTGACGATTCTTCATATGTCTTCCTTCCAGACTCTGTAAACAATGGGAAGCAAAGGATTCATCCTGCTCGGGCTCCTGCTCGTCCTGTCCATCCTTTGTCATTCAGGTGAGTGGTCCAGGGGGACCTGGGTCAGGACCGTCTAGGCCTCCTTGGCCATGTGCTTCTTCTTTCTTAGGCCTCAGAGAGACTGAGCTGACGTCACTGGCCTCAGCCTGGCTTTGGTTCTCTTGCCTTCCAGTGTTACATGTCCAAGGTTGTGTGACAAGTCCTTCCTACGTTACAGCCTTGCCCTCAGTGAAGCGCCTTCCTGAGTTACAGCTCTTCTGGGTTACAGTGCTGCGCTCTAGGGGGTGGGGCAGAGGGGGGTACACTCAGCCGCTTAAGTTTCGCCCCTCTCACTACAAACTGCTGGGGACACCATCTTTAGCGTGCTGAACCCAGTCCTTCTGCCCCGATGCTTCTCCTGAGTTACGATAGGGATGGCGTTGCTGCAATAATAGCAGGAGCAGCTAATGCCTACACCGTTTATGTGCTGATCACTACTCTGAACATTTCACAGGTATTTACATATTTAATCCTCATGTCAGCCCTATGGATTAGGCACTATTTTTATCACCATTTTACAAGTGACAAAACGGGGGCCCACAGAGATTAAATAACTTGCAAAATATCCCACGGAAGTGGGAAAGCCAGAATTTGAACCCAAACAGTCTGGCGCCAGAGCGTCTGCTTTTACCTCCTTCACCACCGGCCACTCCTCCCTGGCTCCTGGGAGGATTTGTATATTCCTGCAAGTTAACCTCTGTAATACCAGGACACCTATGTGACTTGCTTTGCTTCATTGTAAGGATCAAATGTCACTTTCCACCTGTGTTATATTGGTACTGCCATTTGGGGGGGGTGAGGAGATGCAGAGAAAGAAGTAGCAAAGCAGTGAACAAGAAAAAAGGCACCTGCCAGGTTGGAACATGCCTTGCACATAAGTAGCTTTAGTGGCTTTCATTTATTAATGCCTGTTATGTACGAGGGTCCATGCTCAGCCAAATCTCACTCAATCCTTTCATCTTTTATGGTTGAGGAAACTGAAGCAAAGAAGAAACTGGTCCAAGTTACATTTGAATATGCTCTCCATTTCAGAGAAAAAGAAAAGTCCCTAGTCCCCTCCCTCCTTACCTCCGCTAGTTCTGGCCAGGGTAGGTTTGTAGTTTGGTTTACCCTTGGTACAACACTGCGTGATGTAGTGTCTGAGTCCTTCTACCCAGTGTATTTTCTGTGGTTAGAATAATCTGGCCACGCCCAGTTTCTGGCAGTTTGTTTATGGAGCAGGTGCGGGTTTGGGGCCATCAGCTATTCTGTGACGGGCCTCTCCCCTCCTCGAGAGTTGACATCAGAAGCAGATCCTTCTACCCTGGCCTAGTAGCAAGAATATCGAACAGGAAACTGCTGGCCTATTGCTTGTGCCTGACCTGGGTCTCCTTCTGTGGTGCGGTTTCCTTCTCTTTCCCACTCAGGACGATTAGAAAACCAAACTTGGGGGTCAGAACTCACCACCTGGGTTTGAGTCCTAGCTCTCCTCCTCAGAAGCTGTGTCACTTCAGACAAGTGAATTAACATGTTAGTCTCTGTTTTCTCTTGAAAAGTAACAATGGAGATTATTGAGCCTACCTCTTAAAACAATCCTGTGAAGATGAAGAGCTTCACTCACAGGTATCTGAACACTGAACGTATGTGTTAGTGCTGAACGTCCCCACTGACGTTCCAGGCACAAGCTTTGGCTCCTGTGTCTGTATAAAGCCAGATGACTCTGGCTCTAGCCAGAAGATTCACTGCTGTGGGCAACCTTTCTGAGTAGCCCTCACAAATAGCCAGGCTGAAATAATACCTCCCTCTTACATTCTTTGCTCTCAAGTGTGTACACACATCTGGAGCAGGGAAGAGAATCGAAAAATTGCATCTTGTCCCGTCCCATTGTGGCTCCTCTCCCGCAGGCGTGGCGAACACTGACATTGGGGAGAAGAGGTGGAGGGCGCTAACGGAGCCCTGCCTAGGTGTGGCGGATACTCATTACATTACCTGCCGTCAGACGGCAGAAAGAAGGTCTAGTTAGGAAAGGATGTGTCCACGTGAATCAGGAAAATTGTTTGCAACTCTCATATCTCGCTGCGTCTCCCCATTAACGGATGTGAAGTATGACCTATCTTTTTCTCATCACTATTGATATAAAATGGAGAAGGAAAAATCCAGCCAAGCCTGGAGTCTAGCTAGCAAAGACGAATCATGAGAACGTGGATGGGAGCAGAATTAATTTTCCAGTTAGAGAGCCAGAGGCAATTTACATCTGATGTACCCTGACTCTCGTGTTCAGTGTCACTGCTAATGCCTGGCTGTCCCACCTGCCTGGGTTTAGGGTGTCCAGCTGCTATCTGTTCCTTGACTATGCATGTTCCTGGTGACAGGTCAGTCCCTCAGCAGGGAGCAGCCTCGGTGATGACACCTTACCCCAGATGTCACCAGACTTGTTCTATAGAGGCCAGAGAAGAAATATTTGAGACTTTGCAGGCCAAGAGACAAAACCTAGGACATTATGTAATCTTTCATATAAATAACAAGAAAACACATTTCTACAGATTATTAATTGACAAAGTTTGAAATATGATTGAGTACAATTATTTATAATTCAGATCTACTGATGGGAATAATTAGTAGATCCAAATTATGAGTAAATGCAATTTAGATAATTATGAATAATTAGTTATTCTTTGGGGGAGAAGAGCATTTTACTTACCTGGGATTCAAAATTAGTGTTCCCTGTCCTCAGATTGGTTGCAAGTCTTCTCCATCCGTCAGTGCTGGTCTGTAATGAAATTTTATGTACTTCGTCCTTGAAAATGTCTTCTCACACAGACTGCAACTGCCAAATACCAATTATTAGTCCATAAGAGAATGTGGTTTCATAGAGCGTATTTTTTGCTTGGAAGGCATTTATAGATTCTGTTAGCCTATTCTCTTGATAGTTTCCTTTTACTATATCACAACAGTGCAGATTAATTACTGCCAGTTGATGTGATTCGTTGAATAGTTACATGGATTTTTAAATATGGAAATTTCTTTTTTTAGGGAGTGTGAAGGTTTTTTTAAAAGAGTTTATTGACTTATTTTTAGAGAGAGGGGTGGGGAGTGGGGAAGGGAGGCAGAGAAGAAGAGAAATATCAGTGCGTGGTTGCCCCTTACTCACCCCCTACTGGGGACCTGGCCCAAAACCCAGGCATGTGCCCTGACTGGGAATTGAACCAATGACCCTTTGGTTTGCAGGCCCGTGCTCAATCCACTGAACCACACCAGCCAAGGCTGGAAATTTCCTTGGTACTTGCATCAGGGTCCAAAAAATGCTGCTGGAACTATAGTTTGAGCTTGGAGAAGCCTGCCTGGTACAGGTTTGGGTGGGAATGGAAGGCGGCCGACTTCTGCCCCATCATCATGCAGGTCGTGGGCTTTCTCCTGCAGCCAGGAGGGCAGGTCAGTGCTGGTCTACTAGAGTCTCATGGATTTTCTTCCTGATTCTAGGTCATAGTCTGCAGTGCTACAGCTGCTTCAACTCAGGTGGTGTGTGTACTCGTGTCTCCAACTGCTCATCTAACTTGGATGCATGTCTTTCCCTGTTTGGCGGTAAGTGCCTCCCACTTCCCTCTTGTAAGTGTAAAGGTGGGATGAGAGCCTGGAAAAAAAGGACTGTGCCACTTTGCCCCTCATGACCCTTATATTCAACAAGTAATAGCTGCCATTTAATAGCATCAGTTGCATGTAGCACTAAGTACTTCCATATATTTTTACTTTTTATGTATATTTTATTGATTATACTGTTACAGTTATCCCAGTTTTTTTTTTCCTTTGCCCTCCTCCACTTGGTACCCTCCTTCTTTCCAGCAGTCCACCCCCTTAGTTCATGTCCATGGGTCATGTGTATAAGTTCTTTGGCTTCTCTCTTTCCTACGGTATTCTCAACATCCCCGTCTTTTTGTTCCTACAGTTAGGCTTCTTGATCCCTGCACCATTTCCCTACTTCGCCCCTCAACACCCTCCCAGCTGATAACCCTCCAAGTGATCCCCACGCCTATGATTCTGTTCCTGTTGTAGTTGTTTGCTTAATTTGTTTTGTTTTTATTTTTTAGATTCACTTATTGTTACTTGTGAGCTTGTTGTCATTTTAATGTTCATATTTTTGATCTTCCTCTTTTTATTAAATATATCTGGGAAGCGCTTTATCTGTCCTTCCATTCTAAATGATAGCTTTGCTGGATAGAGTATTCTTGGTTGTAGGTCCTTGCTTTTCATCTCTTTGAATACTTCTTCCAGCAGTCTCTTCCACAGACTCATTCCCTGTTGGTTTTTGCCATCAGAAGTTGTGGGTACTTATTTTCCTGGTACTGGAACCCTGGGCTGGGGGGCCTGCTGTGGGGCTGGATCTCCTCAGTCCTGAGATATCTTCCTGAATTTTTATCCACACGTGGGTGTGGGACCAGCTCGTTCTGCATCTGTGCCCCTTCCACCAGTCTGGATGGATGTGGATGTGGTTCCTTTAATTCCAGTTGTCAGACTTCCATGCAACCTGATTTTTGATGTTTCTGAGTTGGTTGTACTATATTTTATTTTTAATTTTGATGTGGTTTTGCAAAGAGGTGAGCCATGTCTGCCTATACTGCCATCTTGCCTGGAATATCAGTGTGTGGAAGCCCCAGTATATTTTTAATTTAATGCTTCTCACCTACCACTTAGGGTAATATTTTATTCTCATTTGATAAATGGGGAAACTGAGGCTCAGATTAAGCAATAGACTAAGGTCAAGTAACCAACCTGGGATCTGAATGTGGGAATCCATCTTTTCCAATGCTCATTAACAGCAATGCTGGCTGCCTCCCAATCTTTTAAGTGTCTCCGTGTGTCAGAGTCTGTGCTAAGAGCTAGGGGTGCAAAGACAAAGAAGGAAACAAAGTTGTGACAGAGGCTTGTTTAGCTGTCAGAAATGTAAAAGGGGAAGGATGTTCCTAAGTATGACAAAAGCAGGCACCAGTGTTTGGTGGCTTCAGAAAGTGGGGCACTCTCGGACATGGGGTGGGAGACCACTAACATTGACAAGTCCTGTAAACCTACATTTTCTGCACTGTTCAAGATTCTGGGATCTCTACCTCCATAAACCCTATTAAAATAGGATTTAGGAAATGGTGAATGGAGAAAAGAAACCAGCAAAGGTAGGCCCGACATTCTTGCTGGATGTGGAAATGATACTGGTGAGGAATGGCTATTTCCAGGTCTTCTTAGTTAGGTAACATACAAGGAAAAACCCAGACTTGCATTGCTAAGAGATGAAATTAAAAAGACTCTTGGAGGACTTTTGGATTTCCTAAGATGGAGGAGGAGTGAATGGAAGCCACACTAACCTGCTCCCAGGACTAATCTGAAATTACAGCTAAACTGTGGAGAAATCACCTGGAACAAACAACTGAACAATAGAAAGAGAGGCATTATAATCTCAGGCAGACAGAAGAATTAGCTTCTGCACAGCCTGTCTTGGTAAGGAGTGTGGTGGAGACTTGAAAAGGCTGACTAGGTGCCCACAGGTGGCAGCGCCCAAGGGATAATTAAGCAACCAGTTGGATCACCCTGAAAAGTGTGGGATCTAAACCCTAAGCTGTAATTCCCAGCCCAGAGCACCAGAGCCCAAAATACACAGATAACAAGCAGTGGCGAAAAGCAGCAGGATTGCTCTCTGCCAAAAATGATGGCTGGAGATGCAAAGAGCCATTTAAAGAGCCAACGCACAAATTTTCATTTGCAGGCACTTACACTGGGCTCTGGCAAAGGCCAGGGCAGAGTAGGCTAGAGGTGCTGGAGGAGAGATGGGGTGGAAGCTTTAGGGAGAGAGCTGAGAGAATAGATGCCAGGATCCAAGAGGAACCCAAAGAGGCCCACTCCAAGAGACATCATAATTAAAACGGCAAAATTCAAAGACAAATAGAGAATCTTAAAGGCAGCAAGGAATAAACAGGAAGTAACATACCCGGTAAGGCTAGCAGCTGACTTCTAAACAGAAACACTACAAGCCAGAAGGGACTGGCAAGAAATATTCCAAGTAGTAAAAAAGCAAAGGCCTGCAACCAAGACTACTGTACCCAGCAAGGTTCTCAATTTAAATGAAAGGCCAATAAGGAGGAACTTCCCAGACAAAAGAAGTCTAAAAGAATACACCTCCATCAAACCAGCACTGCAAGATACACCAAAGGGACTTCTTTAAGAAGAGGAAGAAAAAGAGGGAGAGGAACACAGGTACAAAGAAGGTAAAATAGTAATGAATAAGTACCTATCAATAATAACCTTAAATATAACTGGATTAAATGCTCCAATCAAAAGACATAGAATAGCTGAATGGATAAGAAATCATGACCCACACATATGCTGCCTACAAAAGACCCACCTCAGAACAAAAGACCTAGACAGACTGAAAGTGAAGGGCTGGAAACAAATTTTCTAAGCAAAGGGACAGGGAAAAAAAGCCAGGGTAGCAATATTTATGTCAGACAAAATAGAATTCAAAACAAAGGCCATAAAAAAAAGACCCAGAGGGACGCTTCATAATACTCAAGGGAAGAATCCATCAAGAAGACATAAACATTATAAATAGATATGCACTCAACATAGGAGCACTCAGATATATAAAGAAAATCTTGGTGGACTTCAAGAAATATATAGACGACAACATACTTATACTAGGGGATTTTAACACCCCACTGTCAAAAATGGACAGATCTTCCAAACAAAATATCAGTAAAGATATTGCAGCATTGAACAATGTCCTAGATCAAATGGACTTAACTGATACATATAGAACCTTTCATCTCAGAGAAGCAGAATACACATTCTTTTCAAATGCACATGGAGCAGTTTCAAAGATGGACCACATGATAGGACACAAAACAAACCTCAACAAATTAAAGAAAATTGAAATCATATCAAGCATTTTCTCAGACTACAAGGGACTGAAACTAGAAACCAACCTGGAGGAAAAAACTCAAAAACACTCAAATTTGTGGAGATTGAATACCATGCTATTTAACAATGAATGGATTAATAATGAGATCAAACAAGAAATCAAAACATTTCTGGAAACACATGAAAGTGAACACACAACAGTCTGAAACTTATGGGACACAGCGAAGGCAGTCCTGAGAGGGAAGTTCATAGCAGTACAGGCCTACCTAGAAACGACAGAAACATTTCAAACAAACGGCCTAACCCTACATCTACAAGAACTGGAGGCACAACAACAAAGACAGGCCAGAGCAAGTAGAAGAAAGGAAATGACCAAGATCAGAGCAGAATTAAGTAACATGGAGATTAAAAGAACGATTCAAAGGATCAATAAATCCAGGAGCTGGTTCATGGAAAAGGTAAACAAAATTGAAAAGTCTTTAAGCCTTTAAGTAAATGAGTGGATCAAAAAACTGTGGGATTTACACAATGGGATACTACGCAGCAGAAAGAAAGAAGAATCTCCTACCCTTTGCAATAGCACAATGGATCTGGAGAGCATTATGCTAAGTGAAATAAGCCAGGCACTGGAAGACAAATACCATATGATCTCACCTATAAGTGGAACCTGATGAGCAGAAGAAACAAGCAAGCAGAATATAACCAGAGACATTGAAATAAAGAATAAACTGATGGTAACCAGAGGGGAAGGCGGAGGCGGTAACAGAGAAAAATGGGAAGGGTCATCAAGGAACATATATAAAGGACACATAGACAAAGCCAAAGGAGGGATAGGAGTCTAGGGTGGGTGGTGGGGATGGGTGGAGTAAGGGGAAAATGGAGACAATTGTACTTGAACAATAATTTTTTTATTTTTTATTTTATTTTTTTTTTTAAAGAACAATAATTTTTTAAAAGACCCTTCAAGGTTATTTCACTCTTACACCCTCTACCACAAACTTTTCATGGTGGGAACATCAAGGAATATTGAACAGATCAGGTAAACTGGCTTGGGAGACCCACAGGTTCAGAAAAAGGTGATAAAAAGGAGCTGTGTTTCCCCAGAAAGGAGATTCCCTTCAGTAAGTAAGAACAAATTACAATTATCCTGTTTAAAAAAGATCAGTAGCATCTGCTAATTTCTATATAAGTTCCTGGAATGCAACTCAAATTTCAATCCCTCCATGCAAGGCACTCGATTCTTTAGGGGTACAGTTCTCCTGCCTCTGGAGTACCCTGTCAGTTCATCGTGAATGTAGAAAGCAGAGTGAGGCCCACGGACAGAACATGGTCACTCACTGCACAAATATTTGAGCACCAGCTGTATATGCGCACAGAGCCCTGGTGCTTAACCTCGATGGTCTGCATCTTGGACCCCCCGCTTCACAAGGTGTAATTTGCAAATGAGAGAATAGAGGCATCACCATGTGTGGAATAAGTATCAGGTTACCAGTACGGAGCTCTGCGCTCCAATCTCCATCCTGCCTCCAGTAAATTCTTTCTGCCTCTGTTTTTTATTTATGAAATGTGTGTGTTGGTGGTAGAGGTGGGGAGGAGAGGGAAAGAGGGAAGTAGACTAGAGTCAAAGTCTTTTTTTCCAGCTCTCAAGTCCCATTGTTTCTTATTTGAATTGTTAGACTTAA